TGGTTGACATTGTTGGTACATATTTCACGGAATTAGAACTTGAACCAAGTACTAGTATCATGGACACAGGCCTTAATTCGCCTGAACAGATACAGAGTTTCTAAATTTCTAAACAGTTGCTATTCTTTTCATCGGTGTTTTATTATTAACTCCATTATTTTTTCCAATAAAATCTTTAGTTTGACTTTTTAAGAAATATAACATTTTTTAATCAAAAAGTAATACTAAAGCAACTAGTTTGTATAAATATCCGTTGTTATATTTGGCGCAATTTGTTGATATCATTACTTTTGTAGAGAAGATAGTTTTGTAGAGAAGATATTTTTGTAGAGAATATACTTTTGCAAAAAAGATAGAGTAACAAAATATATTCGGTTGAATTGGAGCTTATACTTGGTGCTTTCTTGCTTTTTTACCTTTTTTTTAAAAAGGTAAGTTTTTTACGTGATATCACACCTTTTGTGGTGTGTAATATCTCATGCTGTACTCTTTACTTGGCACAAACTCGACATTTTTAGAAAAGGGAAAAAACGTTGTTTGCACTGTGGCGAACTAACATACACTGAAGTTCAAGCTTACCGATAGTACTTCTTCGTAGATGCGTTACTATCTGAAATTACATGCACATAGTCCTGGTAATACCATCTGTTAGGAAACAGCGAGAACTTATTCAAGGTCCTAATACATGCACATAGTCCTGGAAATAGGGATGACGTGTAGCTCTGCGCTAACACGAATGATTAGTAATAGTAGAGTCCTCGGTTCGATCCCGACTCTCGTTCCGCATATTTTCCGTCAGGGAAAATTTACAAAGATTCAGCACATGAAGGAGTTTAAGTGCCTAGTGTTGGATTCAGTGTTTGCGATTAAGCACAATGAATTTCAAAGAATTTTTAGAAATAATACGTTGATATAACGTAACGGTTGAAAGGCGTTCCAGTAGATAGGCTAGGTTACTACTACATCGGGTCCGCCGCGCGGGGCGCGGGGGAGGGGGTGTGCTGCCGGGGTGGTGGGGGAAACCCCCACCCTTTCCACACCCACATAGGGTGGGGGAAGGGTGGCCCCTCCCCTTTCCACACCCACATGGGGTGGGGGGAGGGTGGCCCCTCCCATTTTCACACCCACATGGGGTGGGGGCAAGGCCCCCTCCACACAGGCCCATGTGGAGGTGGGGTCCAAACCCTCCTCCACAAAAGGTCCGCGCGGAGTTGGGGGCAATGCCCTTCCTTCGACCCGACAGCATACCCGCGCTCCCCCACGCCGCCACGCGGCGTCCCTCGTTACCACCGGCGCGTTAGCCATCGCGTAACAGGGTAACAAAGGCAGTGAGTCATGTACGCGCGAGCCGCATGTTTCCCCCCCACCCCAATACCTCCAGAAAAGAATAAAAATTTTTTAATCGCGGAAAAAAAACGACGGCTCGCCGGGACTCCAACCCGACTCGCGCGGTCGACAGTCTGACGTCAAACGCATGCGGCTATCGCGTACACTCGATGACACATGGTAAAGAATCGAGTATATAAGTTGCACGCTGCTGCGTCCTCGGTTACCACGGGCGCGCGGTGATGAGACCTCCCTCCCCACCGCGCTGACATGAGACCCCAATCCCTATTATCATCATACAAAAGAATGAAAAAATTTAATCGCGGAAAAAACGAAAAAGTTAGATTAATATCTGTTTATGTACAAGTAACGTGAAGAAAAAAAAACTAGCAGAGCGTGGTTTCGATCCACGGACCTCTGAGTTATGGGCCCAGCACGCTTCCACTGCGCCACTCTGCTAGTCGAATGCAGCTGTGGAAAGAAAAGGGGGAGGAAGTGTAAGGCAGGAGGGTTTAAAAGAGTCTGTACAGTAATATATATACTCAATAGTCAGTAGTCAGTACGAAGTGAGTCATTGTATTGGGGACCACTAGAGAGAGCGAACGCGAGTCGCAATGTTGCCAAAATTGGCCGTGTGCATAATGTGGCTACAGATCCTGTATCTTCTCACCGTTAACTCTGACGGTGCTGTCGTCAACAATAAGAAGAGAATCGTGGTCGAAGAGAACAATGGAGCTGCGGGAAAAGAGAATAACGAAAATGGAGCCGTGGGGAAAGAGAATAACGAAATGGTAATACGATATCTGCAGAGATACGGGTATTTAAACGAGAGGTTCGATAAGTTAGCGAACAGCGAGGATACATTCGTTCTTCAACACGCAATCAGCCTGTTTCAAGAGTATTACAAATTACCTGTTACCGGCATGATAAACAACGAAACTCTAAACCAGATGAGTAAAGCGCGATGCGGTCTACGCGACATAGCCAATTTCGAAGAGGAGGGGCAAAAGAAAGATACGCGTAGGTGGCCGAAAAAACACCTAACGTGGAATTTTCACTTGGCCAACAAACCGGTCTTGGATACGACTCGGGTGGCGTTCGATGTTTGGCAAGCGCATTCGACGCTAACGTTTGAGCGCGACGTGGTGAGGCCAAATATTCTTCTATCGTGGCGCGCGGCTCATCACACGTTCGTCGAGTCGCAAAACGGTGAAGTTTGCACGAACCCTTTCGACGGTCCCGGCGGCACGCTGGCTCACGCTTTCTATCCCAATGGAGCACCGGATTACACGTCGGAGATTCACGTCGACAAAACGGAACCGTGGTATATATATGTCGAGTTAGATACGTGTCCATCGGACAAAGCGTATTTGCTATACGTGTTGACCCACGAAATCGGTCATGCGTTAGGATTAGATCATAGTACCAACAATGCGTCGATAATGTATGCGTTCGTACCAGTAGACCCCCGTCCTGTTGTGCTCAGCAACGAAGACATTATAAATATACAGAATCTGTATGGCGCTACGGATACCGACGTGTCACCGAAAACGAATCCCATGCCGCCACCACCAAACGCTCCACCGGATCTATGCGCCTTGAAACGCGTCGACGCGATACTGTTGTTGGAAAGACGAATGTACATAGCATACGGAAAACATATATGGGCGATCGACATAGATGGAAAGACCTACAGCGAACCTATGCTGCTGTCCAATTACATGCCATTCATTCATTCGAACTTCACGCGCATCTCCGCCGCGTATCAAACGCCATCGGATCATCTGATTCTATTCGTCGACGATAAAATTTACAAAGTCAATTATCCCGACTTCACGCTAGTGTCAACGTGGCCGAGAACGTTTCGCGAATTTGGAATTCCTATGAATGCGAAAATAAACGCTGCTGTAAATACAAACAAAGGAAAATCGTACGTGGTGTACGACGGATATCTCGTCGGTGAGATAGACGACTGCTCCGACAGCATTAGCAAATATCACACCATCGAGTCCGTCTTTCCAGGCATACCGAATGGAGTGACGTCAATCTTCAGATACATCGACGGCAATCTGTATTTCACGACCCGACGACAGTTTTATAAATTCAACGAGTTTACGAAAACTGTACTAACGGCGGGTACGTTCGATCTGCGAATCGTCAACATTATTTGCCCGCGATACGACTTGTTGAAACAATTGCGCGATCTCCTCTATCGAATAGCGCGACCGAGCAATATACTCACTAACGACGATGATTATTATTAAGTATCTATGTTAAAGGAAATAAAAACAACTAACACACACATACTCGAGTGTACCCGTCTTGTTTATTTATTCACCTCGTCCAAATATAAAATAGGGGTACTGCGGGAACGCAATATCGTATACTTTATTTCTCGATACACATTACAGATATATAGATAACCGACAAAAGAAGTGCGAGACACGTTATAGACATATTATAGTGTGTGGTTATTCAAAGTGATAGGATATACATACACATTACGAGTGTGTCATGCAGCTCGTGCCTGCGGTTGCGGTTGCGGTACGCTTTCTTTTACGCTCCGGCTGCGCATCGTCAATAAACAGATCGCGCGTCTCTCTCGTGACTCCGTCAACACGTAGTAGATCGTTTGTCACAGCGGTGATTAAGTCTTGCACCAATCGATTCTTGGTATTCACGGTCGACGAAGAATACAAAAATTGCCCTCGCAGCTTGGCGCGTCTCCACCAATTACGCTTATCCATATCTTTGATATCATCGACGTTAAATATCTGTATGCGAACCAACTGAGTATTCACCTCTCCCGGTGTTCTCACGATATGCAATTTACCGTTGCACAGCCTCGTGATATTTTGCGGTATCGACTCGAGTGGCGAGTCCACTTCAGCGACATGCTCGCACGTTTTCTTCGCATCCAATGCTGTGAGCACGAGATCCGTTGACACGTTCTTAATGTACCGCCGATAGTCAGTGATCCATGCACGATACGAAGTCTCGTTCATTACACCTTTCACGAGTCGAGCATGCAATTCCTTCTGAGGGGTGTTGCGGAGAAATAGTTGCATCTGCAGCGTAGGACATACCGGATCCATTGGACCTTCCGCAATCAACAAGCTGTACACATCCATCAGAGTGTTTTTCATCTCGTTCCCCTCGTGCATACGTTGCGTATTTCTGCGTGTCATTCCGCCTTTCGTCATGTAACTCGATATCATTGCGATCAGCAGTCGTACATTTCGCGTTGCCGAAAAGGACGAATCCCACACCTCGTTCAGAAGGTCCAATAAGGTGATGTATGACGACTCTGCGTAGTTGTCGTTAATATCCGGCACTACGATCTCTTCGAATTCATCGTCGTCTAGCAGTTGTGTTTCCTATTCGGAATGCAGACGAATTAGAACTTGTATAACAAAAACGGAATCGTATATAGCTGCTACTAACCTGTACGTTGGACATGATGCTCGGTCGATCTCGAACGATGTACGATAGTACGATGCTAGCAACGTCCGATCGCTCGCGCTTTTATTCACTCTTTCGACGCCCGCGAGACTCTTGCTGTTACATAGATGTTTTTGTCTGTCGTATATGATAAATAGTTACTCATCGCCTCAAGTTTACCGATTGGTAGGTTATATCGAGACAGTTGTGCAATATCCTTGCGATTAGTCGTATGTCTACGGGACAATTACCACCCCTAAACATATCTCTTTCGAGGTGAAGGGTATATAGGTTTTTTTTGGCGCGCAAACGTGATGTATTACTTATTGTTAGCATTGGTCATCGCTGCATCTTTCCGGATTTGTAATGTATAGCAATACGTTTACGCAATATCCTGGCGACTAGTCGTCCGTCTGCGGTCAGCGTATCGTCCACTCTGTCGATGTGAACGGTAGAGATTTATTGCCAGGCATACGAGATGTAGTATCTATTAGGAGTCGTCTGCGGTCAGCTATCGTTCCAAACATCTCTCGATCTGCGGTCAGCTATTGTCCCAAACATCTCTCTCTCGAGTGAAATGGTAGAGAGTTAGTAGTGTCAGGCATACGAAATATATGTATAAGTGGTAATGCTCATTGCCGCTAGTTGTTTTTTTGCTGTTGAATTGTATATCGGTACGCCTTCGCTCTGTCTACAACGCATAAATCGTCCGTCGCAGTCATTGTTTCGATGTGTATGTTAGCTCGCTACGTTTTTACGCAATATCCGTGCGATGAATCGTCTGTCTCGCATCTTGAGTCGAATGGTATAAATTCAGTGGTAGGTGTGCGAGATTTCGTATAAGACTTTTCTAGCTTGCGACGTTGCACGTATGTGCGAAGTGTGTGTGAAAAAAAACCATGGAGCAACTGTATGGTTTGATGCTGATGACTGACACCGTCACCCGTGAAGTGAATGAATTCGCGAAAACATTGGATACTCTAGCGGCGACCGTGCGAAATATGTATACTGATCTGGACAACCTGAAGAAGAGTCTTCCAACGTTTGTAACGATGAACGTTAATTTGCTCGTGCACGAGAAATCGCTATATACATTGTAAGTAGATAGTGTTGTAAGGTACATAGAATATACATGCATACTACTACACACTGTGTTGGTTACAGAAAAGACATTCGGAGCTTCGTACAGGATATGTCTACTCCCGTGGACGATTACGCAAATAAATTGAATGAGGTATACGCGGAGCTGCATGCTTCGATAAGGGTGTCGGAAATCAATCAGAGCAGAAATCAAAGACAAAATATGACGTCCGACGAAAGTAAAGCACAGACGCAGACGCAGACGCAGACGCAGATTGTGGCGATGCATCTAGGGACGCAGGGAGAGAGAGAGACATATTTTGGTATTCCACGATAGTCTGTAGAGTCGTGAGGTAATTGAATGGTAGTCCGTTTTCCTGACGTAAGGAAGTACCCTTACGAAGGGTCGTGCAAGGTTACACTCTTCGCACATCTTGTGCCACGGGTATACCCGTGATACGTAAAGCGCTCCGTCGATCGATTGCATAAAACAGCTGCACCGCATGAGTAAGTAATAACGATCCTCGTGATCCTGCGGACGTGCTCCGTCTATTAGTACGTCGATATCCGTCGGAGGTTTCATCGCTGTGTATGTGTTTACGGTAGGGCTGGGAGAAAAAAAAATGGAGATTGCCTAGTCTATCGTAATAAGCGGATCAACATGAAAGTATCGCAGTCGAGAAAACAATTCTGCTTACCTCACGCAACCGTTGTAATACAGCGAATGTCACGGTCGTGGTGTCTTTATGTTTTTTTTGTGTCGTCGGTACAGCACGACGATTACATTCGTACTGACTATGGTAATGATGGTGATGCGCGCGGAAGCTAGGCGACAGACGCAACCGCAACCGCAAAGATATTCCGAGGATGAGGAAAGGTGATAAGGAAAAAGAAGATGACACGTTTATTTACACTAGTATATATTGCTATATTGTGCAAGTAAAATATGGTTCACAGGTACTATGACGAATGTGTACGTAATATATGTATACTACACATGTACCAGTGTATAGGGTATAATCGTGCAAGTAGACATGTAACAGCATATAGAGATACCGTTGCAATGAAACAAATAGTAATATTATGTGTTACAAACATGTGTCGAGAGCCGTTTCCCGTTCGATCCACCAATCGCGCAATTTGATAACGTTCGTAATTGCGCAGTGCGTAGTGTGGCGTCTGCATCGAAACACATTGTCCGCGCTCAAATATACCTGCGACTCGATGTCCTCGTAATCCACATCTATGGACGTGACACAGCGGGTGTTTTCGTCGAGAATCTCCTCGAGCCACTTCTTCTTCTCGTACCCTTTAACGTAGATCTTCACATTGTCCGCCAATCCGTCACATGTGGCGCGTCGTATCAGTTGTTTGGAGCGCAGGTATGGGACGTCTCCATCCTTCCACTGCAGTCCGTGATGATTGGCCGTCAGCCAGCAAGCTTGCGATTTTTCAGCTTTCGTTAGGAGATCCCAGGCCATCGGTGCTTTGAAAAGATGATGCGTTTGTGCACGGCCGCCTCTTTTACGATGAATCTTTCACCGACGATGAAACCCTGCAGGTCGACGAAGACAGGTACGGGTGACATCGTGCGTGGACGCAGTCTGTTTTTTTTGTAGGTGTACGGTCAGGCAGCACGACTGCTATCTCTCTCTCTGTCGCTCTCGTATACTATGAAGTGTTTGTTTACGTTATGGACTACGAAGCCTCGGAGCCCGGAGGTCGACTAAGACTATCACGTTTGATGATGCGTGTTCGGGTGGGATCTGAACGACTCTGCGGTACCGTCGTGCGGGACGGTGTTGTTTTTATACCCTATTTTGTGAATGTCGAACGACTGTACGCGATGACTCGGCTATGAAAAAAAAGGTAGTTACACAAGTTTCCGCACCACATTCGTCAGAGGACTGTACTCGATGATTCGGTCATGAATAATGAGGCAATACGCCGTGGTGTCGGCCGGAACGTTTTCCTTACATTCGAACTCTACGCGAACGTCTACGGTGGCGCTTTTCACCGCCTCGTTCTGACGAGAGCAATCGATCACTACAAATGGGCCGGATGTTAAGAATGATTTTACGGTTAGATACGCATCGTCGAGTTTTCGTCCATAGTACGATTTTTGAAATTTTGCATACATGTCATACAGTATAGCAAATTTATTGTTCTCGATGTCAAGATTCATGTCGTCATAAGGATAAAAGTCGGAATTTAAGTACAGTTTCACGTTGGTGAGCTTGCAATGATCGAAGGTCGAGGAATCGCGTGTCAACACGTTTCGTCGTCCTGTTTGTAGGGCAAAGATAACGTAACGCGGTTTCTCTAGTTGCGCCGCCGTTTTTACAGCCCACGAGTGCTTCGTCGTGCTCTGCAGCAATGGAAATTCGTACAGATCCCACGAGCGAAATCCGACGCTTAAAAACCGTCCGCTCTGCAGCGTTCGCAGAAGCGATAATTTGTTCACGTCGTTCAGAACAATGTGCGGCATTCGCCATTGCACCCTCGAAAGAACGATTTTCGGACTTTTAGCATTCTCTTGCGCCACGATGCAATTGTTATCGGTGCGCGCGCGAATCAAGATAAGTTCGTGTCGCGCGTTCACCACTACACGTTTGTAGTCCTCGCAAAAGCCCAATAATATTTTCAAGGGGACGCACAGGCTGAAGGAACCGCTGGCGGAAACGTTTGGCTCACCCCACCCGGCGTTCTGCAATATATCGAGTTCGCGCGACGTCAACGAAACGTAATTCTTAATCGTACTGGTTATTCCAACGTTGCGATTTCGATCGATCTCTACGCCATTGAGTTCGTAACGTATCTCCTCGAATATGAAGGCTACGCAGTTGCTCGCAAGTTTTGATGTCTGATTCGTCGTCGTCGATGCCTCATCGGACAATTTTCCCTCCACGTATAGAGCGCTTTCGCACAGTAGTGTACAGATCCTGCTGCTGTATGGGTATTCGTACTTCATCGCTGTATCCGAACGTTGCATTGGCATAGGGGTTGTACGCGTGAGTCTCGATCTTGACGATGCGCTCGTCGAAAATCGGCTCACCTCCAATGCTCAGGATGTCGACCACCATAATTCATGTTTCTCACAATGAAACCGAGCGATCGCAAGAACGCGACGTTCGCGGCGCTCAATTGATTTTTTTTGTTCTCTTTCGCTTCTCCTCCTCCTCCTCTTCTGTCGACGTACGGAACAGACTCGTTTTTCACGCGTGAATCACTAACAACGAGCATATCTCACGCAACGCGTTTTCTCACGTGCAATCGTATCGTTATCCCTTCCCCGCGAAAATCAATCGGATGTCCGTTTTGATCCACCACACGCACTGTTATATCGGTCACGCTCCTCACGATGACCGGTAGATAAATGATCTGCGTCGGCGTTTCCGACAGTTTATATCCCGGCGGGACATTCGGCACGAATTCGTGTATCGTGTGTACCGGTTTGTCGTTGCTGTACGCCCCCGCGGTAATGTTGCATTCCACGAGTACGACGTTGACGCTCATAATATTTATCGGTTGGTCGGACACGTACCATCGGTTCGGTTCCAACACGCGCGTTGTCGAGAAACCCAATATGGAGCCAATATTGTTCGGTTTTGTAAAATTTACTCTATACGCGCATTTTATCTCGGTCCTCATGGTATTTTCATTGGCGCGAAGAACGATAGTATATGGGTTATCCTTCTCCTCGTCGTTGACGTCGTAATCGTACACACGATACTCATTAAGATCTTCATCGTCATCCGTGGATTTGTCCCGCTGTCGTCGTCGTCGTCTGTCGATAATCGCGGCCTTGAGGTACCGTTCGATTGCGCGCAATTCGTATGATCCTTCGGGAATGATCGGTTCGTCGTTCTCACCAAAATAGAATGTATCGTTTGTCGAATTGACGTTCGGTATCGTGTTGTAGGTTTCGAAATTTGCAAGGCCCAACTCGTAGTCACCGTCACTGAGATCGAGAGCGGGAAAATAACTCGCGACGAGAACGCCGCTCGTTCCCGTCAGCGTGAGCGTCAGCGACATGACGGTCGAGAGTCGACTGAGATTTATTTCGAATGGAG